TCAAGTAAAATGTAAGAAAAAACACATGTTGTTTGAATCAGCTTCTCCTATGGTGCATTCAACCTCTCTGATTTATTGGTCTTCACAAATTCTTCCAGTTCTCCTTCTCTTCATGCTCAGTTCCAATTTTCCACTATCTACTTATCTAAACGCCTGCATAGTTACCACAACATCATTGCATTACTAGATAACAAATGCAACTTATGAAATTAAACTCCATAACAAATTAAACTTGAATCTATTTTCATTTTTCTTAAAATCTTGTACTACTTTTCTGCCAATGCTTCTCACTTCAGCTCTTTGGAATCATCATGTTGTATATTCATCATTGCTTGCATATGTGGAACTTCTACTCCTAATGTAATGACCACTATTCAATTTAGACTTATAGAATTTGAATAGCGTCTCTTATGTAAAAAAATCTTGTCTAACCTTTTATCTTTTTTTGCCCTTTTGACCTTTTTGTTATGTTTAATGTTACTTGATGATACACCTTCTTGTTTTCTTTTAACTCCTACTACCTGTTGCTCTTCTCCATTTTCTATTATATGTACATGTCATTGTTTAGCTTATTTTCATCTAATAAAATTCACTAATGACTACTGCACTATAGACTTGTAATAATGCATTGCGATTATATTAGTCTTGCATCTTATAACAAAACTTTATGCATATACGAAGCTCAAATATACAAGTGCAGTTATGTGTGGTTTCAATCATAACACTTGACTTTTAGTAAACACATACAACAACCAAAATATGCATAAGGTTGAATTCACTTTCAATCAACATTTAACCAATAGTATGTGTTACACAATTCACATGCTTTAAAGTCTTGCATATAATATGTTTCATTACTGCATCTTACATCTACATTCCTGCATCTTACAGTCGTTTGAAAATACAATGCCTGCTGCTAAACTTCTACATCTTACTTCTAAAACTACTGCATCTTTACATCCATTTCAAAGTCCAATTCCAAGTATCAAAACCCTGCATCTTACATCTAAAACTCCTGCATATTACTTTTTTATTCCCTGCGTGTCAGTGCATCTATAAATACATCTAACTTCATTCCTCCTACAGTTACAAGAATGCAATATTTCTTCTCAATATCACTTAAAACATTATCAAACCTCTATCCAAAGCTACATTGCAATCCCAACTTATAATCTGATAGTATTCATCCTAAATTTCTCAATTAGATGAATTTCAAAAATGTTTGAATTAAATTAAACATGCATCCAAATTAATATTTTTGAATCTATATTGAAATAACCAGTGACTACAAATGAGTACCTTCATCAAGCTCATTTGTATTTCATGCAATAGATTTTCCATTTGTAGCGAAGCCATTCCCTTTACTCGTCGTTCACTCTGCCTTCTTCGGTTAAAAAAATACTATCTGAAATCCTTGCTCCAGACTCGGAACGCGTTGGCGACTATATTTTCAATCGACGATCCTCTGCAACTTACCTTTTTTCCGATGTTATTCGTGATTGATTACCTTGTTACTGCATACTAATCGTAAAATTAGGGATTTCTGTATTCAATCCTATTTTTTATGTTGGCGGCTTAGTTTTTTATTGTTAAATGACCTTCCTGACCTTTTGGATGACTTAAGCTTCCAGATGGGATTTACCATTTTATTCCATGTGTGTCAGTGCACCCTCTTAATAATGCATCCCATTCTCAGAGCCGTCTGTTTCCTTTAATCCATCGACTGTCATTAGTTTGTAGTTTGCACGGGAAGCCTAGTATATATATAGGGGATGGTTCAAATAAAAAGTGGTCTTAACGTGCAAAGTGTAAAGTTTGCACTTTTTCATTTTTCGCTTGCACTTTTTCTTGCTTTCGTTGCACTCTTTCGCAGGAGCTCAAAAAATTGGTTTATTTACAAAACTGCCACCGTCATTTTGGCCGAATTTGGCCAAAATAAAAATGGCCAAAAAGTGCAACGCAAACAAGAAAAAGTGCAAGCGAAACATGAAAAAGTGAAAACTTTGCACTTTGCACGGGAAGACCTCTTTTCATTTGAACTCTTCCATATATATATATATATATATATATATATATATATATATATATATATATATATATATATATATATATATATATATATATAGGGAATGGTTCAAATAAAAAGAGGTCTTAACGTGCAAAGTGAAAAGTTTACACTTTTTCATGTTTCGCTTGCACTTTTTCTTGATTTCGTTGCACTTTTTCGCGATAGCTCAAAAAAATTGGTTTATTTACAAAACTGCCACCGTCATTTTGGCCGAATTTGGCCAAAATCAAAATGGCCAAAAAGTGCAACGCAAACAACAAAAAGTGCAAGCGAAACATGAAAAAGTGAAAACTTTGCACTTTGCACAGGAAGACCACTTTTCATTTGAACTCTTCCCTATATATATATATATATATATATATATATATATATATATATATATATATATATATATTACATGTATATATCGTAAAACAAACAATTATATTAAGGGAAAGTTCTCGAAATAGAACTAAAACAGTTTCAAAATTCCAAAATAGGACTATCATGTTTTTTATTCCCCAAATAGGACTAATTACTGTCATGTTTAGAAAATACTGACATGTTTGAAGTCTGGTACTGCCAAAACATGACAGTAATTAGTCCTATTTTGGGAATAAAAACATGACAGTCCTATTTTGGAATTTTCAAACTGTTTTAGTCCTATTTTGGGTAATATCTCTTATATTAAATCAACAAAACGTTCGTCTCTTGGCTGACAATACAATCAGAGATAAAGTAGGAAACAAAATAACAAAAAGCCTTATGTCCGCCGTCCGCCCTTGAACCAGACTTAGAATCTATCACCTTTGTAGCCGCTCTTGAGCTGGCTCGAGCTCGAGTTGACCGAACCCGATTCAAGCTTTGATCGAGCAGCTCACAAGCGGCTCACGAGCAGCTTGGCTAATTTGCACCCCTACTTATAGACTAACCTTGGTTATGCAAGGGAAATATGAGACAATTAATTAGGTTAATGAATTAAATTAGGTGTAGAAATGGATAAACTTATTTAAGGAAAACCAAACATAGGGTCTTGTTTTTTGAAGAATGTTAGTGTTTTTGTCCTACCAAAGCAATAATTGATCCTCAATTTTAACTTATTTGCTGATTTAATCGCTCTCATTAAATTTTTATTATCTTTTAACATGCTTACCGAGTCCGTTTGTACTCCTATAGTTTTAAATGGCACGGTTATTACTCCTATAGTTTTAGTTTCCAAAAATATGTGTACTTTTAGTTTTCCCAAAAATATGACTTACGGGCATCTCCCTCACAGAGGACAGGAGCAGACCTCAGTCCCTCACCAAGCCACCATGCCCTCTTTCTCACCATTCCAGCACACATGTTTTCCCTTGCTCGACCGCCACAACAATTCCGCCACCGCAGTCGTTTGACCGCCGGAATCACAGACCGAATTTTCTTCTCCTTCTCCATGAGCACATGGGCTTCGCAGAGATGATGATGATGTGTAATTTAAATCCGACAGAGACGGTTTGGAATCCACGAGGATGCAAGTTGCAATGGACAACAAGGGCTTCGCAGATCTGGACATTGATGGTTGCAACAGATCTGGCGTCGGCGCGAATTTGGGAGAAGGTCTGGTCACCGGTCGCCGCTGACGGCCAGGGGATGGGGAGGTGTACAGATCTGGTCACCGGTCGCTGCTAGCGGCCAGGGGATGGTGAGGTGGACAGATCTGGTCAATGTTGTTTTGCGTAGGGGATGGATTTGAGCTCAGGCTGGGGCTGAGGAATCGGCTTCTGGCCGGTGGGGGTAGAGGAGGGGGCTTGTGGGGTCACTGTTTAGGGCGGCGGCGGTTTCCGGTTGGTACTTGGCAGCGGGGGGTGATAGGGGTGGGGTTGTAGACTGCCTGGTGAGGTTGGCTGCCGGAGAGGCGCGGCGTAGGGTACCTGCGATGGTGGAGTGGTGGTGGCCGGCGGTGGATGGTCTGGTGGTGATATAGTGACACGGGCAGTGGCTATGATAACACGTCGACGGTGGCTACAGTGACACAGACGGTGGCTAGAGTGACACGAACGGTGGTTACAGTGACACGGGCGGTGGCTACAGTGACACCGGCGGTGGCAGTGACATTTGATAGTGACATTAAAACTGGACAGTGACATTAAAATCTTACGATAACATTAATATTACACTCTTAGTCACATTTTTGTCCTAATGATAATGTGGTCACATTTTTGGAAATTGTCTTTACTTAAGTAATATTAAGGTAAAAACCCCAAATATATATATCACAAATATCAATCTTTTATACTAAGGGTGGACTCAACCGGTTTGCCCTGGTCCGGCCTGCTACTGTGCGGGCCGGACCAGCCTGGTTGGTGTAAACTGGACCCGGGCTTTAAACCGGTTATGGTAGGTTAGGCGGGCTGGGCACGGGCCTAGTTATTTGTGAACCGGCTCAGTCAAGCCCAGCCGGGCCTTGGCCTTTTTTCATTTTTTTTTGTTTTTCCCGGATAGGGCTGGGTGTTTTGGGGGGGTTTGGGGGCAGGGTGAAGGGGGGGGGGGGGGTCGGGGGTTAATTAGAAAAGCAAAAAAAAATACATAGAACCGGACCGGACCAGCCTGGGCCCGGACCGGAACTGCTGGCTACCCAGGCTAATTCCGGGCCCAACATTTCAAAAAAAAAGCCCGCTTAGGCCTGGTGACCCTGGTCCATCCCTATTTTATACTCCATAATTTTTTACTCGTGTTTTGAAATTTGAAGTGATGAATGACGACTCATTTTTCAACTTTTTATTTGATTCTGAGCCTCCTATTTTTCAATCGCAATAAAATTAAAGTGTTACTAAATTTCTAAACTTGTTTAAATAATTAAGGTCTAAGACCACAAATGACCAATTCAATTGTCTAAGATTAAATTCGGTATAACGCAATGGTCGAGACATTTCTGTGGGGTATTAACACAAAAATAAAATAAATAATAAAACAGTGACAACTAATTACTTGAACTTAAATAACAAAAAAAACATTGACAAAAATCAAACTCAAGTATATCCATCAAGGCTACATTTTCGTTTTAAAAAGTAAAATCACATCAGAAAAAAACACATTAGGATCCACCTGGTAGCCTCAGAAAATTTACAGCACCTGTGGAACGAGTTACTCTATATATTTACCAACACCCTATTTTCATGGCTTTCCAGATGTCCACAGTGGTTTGAAGCCAGGAGGGAAATCATCAAACGGTTCTGTTTTGACATTCAATGAGGTATTGGAACCTGAAGATGTCATCCATAGTTTTTCGAAACCAGGAGGAATTTCTTGAAACTGTTCTCTGTTAATGCTAGAGTGATCAAATTGCACTTGAATGTCACTGGAACTTTTACACATGACAACATCCACATTTCCCACACTTTTCCCGCCTACCATGTCAATCTCCATGTCGGCCTCCTCATTGTCGTCTACTTCTCCCCCATTTTCCCCACCTGTTCTGTTGATATCTGAGACTACGCGTTGCATATTGGCAGCTTTCTCTTTTTTACCCGCACGGCGAAATAATCCCCACAGGAAGTGTTTCCCTCTCACTTCTGCAGCAAACTCAGGAATGTTAGAAGTGGTACAACAGCTTATGTCCAGTAAAGCTTCCTTCATATTACACCGAAATAAAGTAAGAAAGTGTATTATAAATCTGCCAAAAGTCATTAAACCGGCTCAAACTCAATAAACCAGTTTTAAGTTTTTGTTCAAGCTCATTTTTTAAAATATTGTCTAATTGTATTACACAGACTAAGAAATATAAATATATGTGCAACTTTATTCAAATTCCATTTTCCTTCAGATTTTCCGAAGTAAAACCAAATGTAAGAAAACACTACTTAACCTGGCATTTCTTCCTTTCAAGTTTCACTACCAATTTCTTTCATCCAAACATAGCCTTCAAGAAACATGTTGTAAACACAAAAAAGTACACAAAATGCAAAGCTTACTCTGACAGTCCTCTTGCAGAACTGTGGATGCAAACACCAGCATTTCCATGTTTTCAATCTGCTTTCTCATCACCAAATCATGCTCTCCTATCAACTTCAGAAGGGTCGCATACTCCTTGGACCTATATACCCAACAAAGCTAAATGGATTTAATTAAATCCCATATAACACGGACACAAGTATTACATGACTGCACAAAAGGGGACTGCGGCTGACCTTTTCATGTCACCAGGCAAGAAAAAGAGCCCTATGTCATCTCTTGTAGGGCAATAGTCACTGAATAGCTTGAGCCACACATCACCTCTTGGAACCAATTTGAAGTCAAGAACCTCAGGCAGCAGCTTGGTGAAGTCCATGAGCTTTTTACACGCTTTTGAGGAATGATGAGCTTGTAACCCGTGAAAGTTTAGAGTGTCACAGACTGTGAGGCTTCCCCTAGAGAATACAAAGTTATTGCTCAACTAGTTAACAATAAAATTCTATGAGATCATATAGAGTTGTATTATTACTTTTACCAAACTGTTTTATATCTGTTAATTCAACCAATGGTTTGACTTGGCCACATTAATAAAAAATATAATCTAAAACACGTGAAAACAATATATTTTTACATGTTGTGCAGTGGATCATCAATTACTTCATTAGTATATAAGGTAAATCTGGCTTAAATTAACAAGGATTGGCTGGTAATAGTAGTAAAAAATGGAATGAAACCACAATAAGTTCAAATAGGGGCTGGAGACAAAATAAGTATTAATCATAATCATGACTTATGACCTGTGTTATGTTCCATGATGAGCAGGTTTATTTTCTAATATCAACATTGACACAATGCTTTTTTGGATGAATTTATAATGTCAACTAATAACTTTAAAATATTTGAACTTGGCTTTTGCTATTTGATAGAATTTGCAAAGAAGTGACAATATAAATTTCCAAGTCACCGCCTTCACGAATAGAAACAAATATGCACTTACTTCCAAGATGGATAAAGTACTGGATCATTTGAGAAATTCTTGACATCTGGACCTGAAACCAATCAACAAGTCATCCACAGAAATGAAATGATGAATCAGGGAAGAGGAAAACTTTATACGACATATAAGGATCCAATACCATTTAGTTACTCCTCTAACATACACAAAAAGTATTGATATAGGGAGTGGGCAGACTTTTTGAATGCTCTAAATTAAATTACAGAAAAATCACCTTTTACCACCTCACAGGGCTTCTTGGGATGCTGAAAATTAGGAATAAATGAGCCGTCGTGGTTGACAGCTGTCCTTGACATTGGGGTTGATGTGTGCTTCTTAGATGAAAGTGGGGTTGATATATTTTTCTTGGGTGACAATGGGGTTGATGAGTGTTTCTTTGGTGACAATAGGGATGATGAGTGTTTCTTAGGTGACAAACGGGATGATGAGTGTTTTTTACGAGATCGTGGGGCTGATGGGTGTTTCTTAGGTGACAGTGGAGTTGAGTAGCCAGTTTTCTTCAAATTGGAAGAATTATTTTGCTGTCTAGGTAGGGTGAGTACTTCTTGAACGGACAGATATTTTGTTCTGCCTTTCAAAACTTTATTTTCCCAGTTAACACGACCACGGCCCTGGTTCAATTTTCTCGGGGAACCCCTCTGCAAATTCTTGGTTATCGTCTTTGGTGATACCTGAGAAGCGTTCCGGCTTTTCCCACATGATAATTGCTTCTCATTTCTTTGAGTGCATTCCTCACACTGCCAATCCTTTGTGGGACCCTCACAGTACTCTCGCATGCAATAGCTGAGCAACACAGAAAGTTGCAAACCCTCAGTCGGCATCGAATTGCAAAAGAAGTGTTACAACTTGAAGAAAATGAAAGTTCACTACTGTAGGAAACTACAATGTACACCATCATGAATGAAAGTATTTCAGTTTTGATGATCAGGATAATTGCACATCTAAGATTGACAGAGATTAAGAACATAGAGATGAATGCCCATCACTTGTAAACATTGCGGGAATATTTCTCTTTCTTTTTATATTTTCAAAACAGGTACCATCATGTGTAGTAATATTGAGGAGTGAGCCAACAAGAATAAGCCCTTCTGGTTTAAAAGACGGGAGGGGACGAGTAGAGAAGGGAAGTTTAGGGAAGGAAAAAGGTGTATAAAAAGATAGTCCATATTATGTTTGGTTAATGAAGGAATTAATATTTGGGAAAAACATGTAAAAAGAATATTAACTTGCATGCATAAAAACATTAGGGTGAATAAATTTGGTTGGAAAAGAAGAATGAAATTAAGATACCAAAAATTACTTGCAAAGATCCCCCAAAATGGGGGAGTAGGTTATAAGGAGTTAAGAGGATTGCATAACTCTTCCACTTTCTTCACTCCTTCCTCCTAACTCCCCCAGCAAAACACACAGAACTCCTTCACATACCTCAGCCTCCTCCCCTGCCCTCCAAAACCCTCTAAGCATATAAAGTCGAAAGGACTAACAGAAACCCAAAATATGATCTGACAGAACAATTAGTTCTATCTCAAAGTAGGTGATCAATTAATCAAAGTAAGATACAAAGATGGCAGAGGAATGCATGCTAAACAAACAGGGGAAAGGGTCTTACATATGTTCTTGGTTAACTTTACACTTAGCACATGCAATGATTGTCTCTGCAATCCCAACATCACCGCAGATATCACAACACCCATCCTAGAAAATTCCAGGTTCGATGTAAAACCGTTAATTCTTTGCATCACAAAAAAAGCTGTGCTGATTTTATTTCAAATTGCATTTAGTTTTTGGCTTTGGGCAACGATCATTAGAATCAGTAGTCTCTCCGCTGTTTCAACTAAACATACATTCCATGACATGTTTATTTGGCCAAATAGATGTGTGTGTAATAACTATAATTATTCTTCACCCATAAAGTATTACTTACCTCACTATTAAATAACCATCGTTTACGGTTATCAAGATAGAGATACTACAACTATTTTGCAGAAGGACTATTATGGGCATAGTGGCATACAAGAATTTGTGTAATGATAGAAATAGCAATAGCAGCAAAAGTTCAAAAGGAGGATATGACTAAACAGACATGAAGACAAAATAATTTCTCTTTAACAATGCTCTGAAGGATAATGAGAAGCATTCAAGAGCAGAACATATTATCAAAACAAAGTTTTCCCTGTTTAAATTTTAAACCATAAATATTTAACTATTTATTGGAACCCACCGAAATCTAGATAGAATTTAGAAATTTATTTGTGTATTGCGAATTTATAATGTCTCATATCCCAAAAGACATTCTTGTCTATTATTGGAAAAATAGTCAAGAGAGCCTCAATGTATTCAATTACCATCAACAGCATTGGGATTATTTCCATTATTAGAGACAATAATATTAATCCCAACTTCATGATACAAGTCAGTAATTGAATAAGAATCCATTGAAAAAAGACTCCATTGAAAAAAGACTTGTCGAATGACATTAATGACCCTTGAGATTGTAAACCATTTAGAAGTCCAGAGTAAAGAAACAGTAGGCGCCATAAAGTGTGTATCGACAAGGCCTACAATCACATGATGGCTTCTAAACAGTGATCGCTGGCACCTATGTTGCACGGAAACGCGAAAATCATGAGGAAATGGCAAGCGGAACGTTAACTTTTGCTAAAAAAGGTTTGTATGAAGAGTTTCCAAAGAGTTTCCGGAACATAGATGTACTCTTTATGGAGAGTTTCCGTGCTACATAGGCTGGCACCAATAAATTAAACCATTATGGAGCCGTATATACTAGTGCTCCAATTTCATTCAATGATCTCATCTCCTTTATCAAATAAATGTTATGACTAGTAATAGGCCTCCATTTTGATTTGTTTTTTGAAATCAGAAAATGAAATAAAAATACTTGGTATGAATTATCAGCCGAGCACAGCATTTAAAGCACGATGCACTACTCTAATCAGTAATACAATAAATGACAAATTTTTAAGCACAAAACGCGCACATTAACAACAGCGCTGCAGAGCTGATATATCAACAAAGTTTTAAATTCACTATGCACTAATTTTGTTTTACAAAATAATAAAAATGAAGCTAGTTCCTACGAGTATGCCCTTTTGGTGGTTTGTTTTTAACTTAACCAAGTGTAACACTACTAAAGTTCCAACCTTTACATGGTTATCAAAACCTAAGAATTATATTTCTGCCATTTTTTGTTTAACCCAGTTTCTAAGGAACAACTTCTCGCAAAGAAATGACACTCGGCACAGCATCATGGAGCAATATCTTGGTTCTTGGGCACAATATGACCAGAAACATGAAAACAATTAGTGTTGAACACAGTAGAAAAAACAAAAAAGGAGGTTTTTTACCATGAGGTTTGGAAAGGTGGTGGGGCTGCAGTGCTGGATATTCTTCTGTATTTCCTCCCAACAGAGAGTGGGGTTGGAAGATAATGGGAGCCGATTCACTCGTGCCTTTTCGGATTGTAATACGTGGACGGCTTCGATGGATTTTCGCGATGGTACGTACATATGAGAGCCCACACGTCGTGAGCGACTAAGGTCAATACTCAATAGTGTTCTATGACTATGGTCAATACTCGTAAAAACAATTTAAGAGTATTAATTTATGGTCAATTTTAATAACAAAAAGTATGTCCCAAATCTAAGTGTTTCATATGTTGTAAAAAAAGGAAAATTGAACACTTTAATAACAATTTAATTCACATATTTTTACATGAATCAATTGTGTTTGTGAAGTGTAAAAAAACAATCAAATCAATTATTTTGCAGGTAATAAATTGATTTCACGTTTATTCACCTATGTGGATGTTCAAATGTTGTTTTTTACTATTTTCTACTACTTATATTCTGATTTAAGGTTCCCATTGTAAATTCACACTATTATTTAGACAATAATTAAATAAGATAATTTGAGTATTGATAGAGTATTAACTCTTAGAGAGAAAGGAGAACTAGAGAGAAGTGATATGTATTAATGAATTTTCAACCCATTACATGGCTCCCATATGGAGTATTTATAGAAAAAATATGGGTTGTGCTCCCAAACATTGGGCTTGGGGGGCCCATTACAAGATAAGACCTCTGAAGTATGACGATTGTGCTCCTCTTAGTCTTCTGAGTATGTGGGTCATGGGGTCTGGACCCATATACTCCATCATGAGCCCCCACTATCTAAGCTAAGATGTAGACGAAGTGAAAGGGGTAGATTCTTGTTGCCTTGATTCTTGTTGCCTTGATGTTTCAGCCGACGTGGGACCGATGTGGCTGTTCGGCGTTCTTGGCCGAGGCGCTACCATCTGGTGGTTGATGCTTGTTGTTCCTTCCTGAGCCGTTGCGGATCCCTCACTCCTATGAACGAGAGATGTGCCTCGTATTGAGGATGATGCGTGTGTCCCGTTCTTTGTACGTTGTGTCGAGGACGATGCGTGTTCTTTGTTTTGAGGACGACACATGTCCTGACTTGGCGTGTTGATTTGGACGAAGGAGAGGCCGCATGGCCGTAGGTGTCGTCGAGTGCCTCTGATCTGAGGACAATGTGCTCAATCTTTACTTTCCTATTTCGTACTTTGCTTGCGGCTGAAGGTGACCTCACATCTTAGGACGTTGCGGTGTTGTCGTTCTTTGCTGAAATTAAACGTGTTTTGCTCAACCAGCCGTTGTGGAGCTTCTGTTTCTATGTTGAGAACGATGGAGGTCCTCACACAGTGGACGTTGAGCGTCCAAGGTTTTGAGGACGATGGTTGGGGTGGACCAGAGGACGTTGTGTGCCCTTGGTTTTGTGGACGATGCATGTCCTGCCTTTGACTTTAACAGATGGATCGTACGTTTGTGGACGTTGGGGTGTTATTTTCTTATCTTGGTCGAGGGTGGAGCATATGACCTAAGGCCGTTGGAACTCCACATGTTGAGGGACGACATGTGTCACGTCCTGGGTGGTGTGTTTGAGCTTTGCTTCCCTGTTTGCTTATTTTGCTGCGGCCGAGGGTGTACCACAAGGTCCTGGACGTTGTGGTGTATAGACGATATGATGTCGTTGCAGTTGTATACTTATGCATTCTTGGATTTTCAATTTCATCCTTGCGTTTGGAGGCCGATATAGTCTCCCGGTCCCCCACTGCCTGAGACGAGAGTACTTGAGGCGAAAGGGAGTAGAGCTATGTACTGATCTGTCGTCGCCAGGTGGAGTAAACATCTGGCGTCGCCTCACTCGGATTCCCCACGCCGATAATCCGATGTCATTGGCAAGCCCTGACTGAGGCAACCCTGTGGGAGAATCCTTGGCCGAAGGTCGCAGGCCAGAGACTGTCACTACCGGTCTTGGGGCCGAGGGGCTATGTGTATGATGTGAGGTTGTCGCCGGTGCATGTGGCAATCTTAGTGAAGGATTTGAATTTCGGGCTTCTATGGTGACGAGGCGCTAAGTCCCCCGCTCTTCCAGTCCCCCACTCCTTGAGGCACATATAATGAGGTGAAAAGGAGTAGAGCAATGCACATCTTCAACAGGGGACCGAGGGTCGACACCTTTTGATCCACAATGGGGAGATGTCTCGTTAAAAACCTCATTAAGAAAAACCATATGGGAAAAAATCATAATGGGGGAAAAAGAGTACACCGGATGCCCCCAGAATGAAGCAAAAGTTGTGAAACCTTCGGCCTGGGTGTGGAGCTGTAGCGGTGTCTGTCTGCTGAGGGGATGCCCGTCTGCTGATGAGGACAAAGGCGCTGATTAGTCGGTCCGAATATGAGGACGAGGCGACGGATGCGTGTCTGAATATGAGGATGAGGCGGTGGACGCCTGTCTGAATACGAGGACGAGGCGGTGGACGCCTGTCTGAACATGAGGATGACGGTGGTGATGAGTCATGCGTCAGATGAAGGCGACGGTCGCTATCCAGGAAGGGACGGCGAGCCGAGTCATTATCTCAAGACGCTTGCCGCTGGGGAAGCCGGCGAGCCGATTTGTTAGCTCAAGACGCTTGCCGCTGGGGAAGCCGATCTTGAGATAGAGAATCACGCTGAGGCCGAGGGGCCGCTCGTGATCTGAGGATGATGGCGATGAGGAGCCGGTCCAATAAATGATGATGAGGCGATGATGAAGCCGATCGTCATACAGAGGCGACGGCCGCCATCAAGGGAGGGGTGGCGAGCCCAATCGCTGGCTCAAGACGTTCGGCGCTGGGGAAGCCGGTCTTGAGATATAGGATCACGCCGAGGCTGAGGAGCCGTTCGTGATCTGAGGACGACGGCACTGTTGAGAAGCCGGACCAAAATATGATGATGAGGCGATGATGAAGCCGGTCGTCATGTAGAGGCGATGGTCACCATCGAGGAAGGGATGGCAAGCCCAATCGCTAGCTCAAGAAGTTCGGCACTGGGGAAGCCGGTCTTGAGATAGATAATTGTGTCGAGGTCGAGGGGCCGGTTGTGATGTGCGAATGGCGATGATGAGGAGCCAATCCGAAATATAATGACGAGGCGATGATGAAGCCGATTGCCATATAGGAGCGATGGTCACCATCCAGGAAGGGATGGCGAGCCCGATCGCTAGCTCAAGACGCTCGGCGCTGGGGAAGCCGGTCTTGAGATAGATAATCACACCGAGGCCAAGGGGTCGGTCGTGATGTGTGGATGGCGATGATGAGATCCAATCTGAAATATAATGACGAGGTGATGATGAAGCTGATCGCCATATAAGGGCGATGGTCACCATCCAGGAAGGGATGGCTAGCCCGAGCGCTAGCTCAAGACGCTCGGCGTTGGGAAAGCCGGCCTTGAGATATAGAATCATGCCGAGGACGAGGGGCCTTTCGTGATGTATGTACGGTGATGATGAGCCGGTCCAATAAATGAGGAGCCCGATGGGGTGCCATCTGGCCGACGGAGGGCCCACTGGATGATGGTTGTGCTCCTCTTAGTCTTCTGAGTATGTGGGTCATGGGGTCTGGACCCATATACTCCATAAAGTATATTTTGAGAAATAATTTTGATGAATGTATAATATAATGGATCGTTGATGATAACTATTATGTTGTAATTGTATTATTTTTAATCTTTGATGATTAAGTTTTCATTGAACAGTGTTGATTATTTCATAAAATAGAAATAACAAACTTTACTGGGACGTTCAAAAAAGGATAGTAAATTTTAGGATAATGTGTCGGGTCCAAGACTATCAGCTCGTTACACCCAAGCTTTGGCCCGACCAAAGCTCAGAACACAGTCCGACTAGCAGAAATCGGTTCGGGATTGTTTAGCTATTAGTTGGACCGACTCGCCCATTAGCGATAAGGTTAATTAATTCTTAAATTGGACCAAACCCATATATCATTAGTTATTGGACTTGTACTAGATGTTTATAAATAGGCCATTGTACTATTAGGGTTAAGCTCATTAACTTGCGTAACCCTAATCCTATTCTCCCATGTATATATATGTGATATGTGCTAATGAAGAAGATCACTTTTAAGTCCATTATAACACATTATCAGCACGAGATAGCTCAAGAACTCTATTTTTCTTTTTTTCTTCACTAGACGACACCCACGTGCGACGAAATAATTTAAAGGCCGTATAGGGTGAACAAGAAGACGATTGCGGATGAAGTAGTAGGCTTCACAAAGCGCCACACAAAGCGCCACAGCACTAGAGGAGAGATAATTTCTCTCATTTCTTGCGGACCATAAGTCGCCGATGATCTCTCCGGCGTCACGAATTCCGACGATGATGGCAAAGCATGAGATAGAAGATCATTGGGGTGTTTCGTGGAGGACGACGCTGATATAGCGTTCTAAAATCCCATTCCACTTATCGTCGTTGAGTGAGACAATAGCTTTAGAATTCAAAATGATCTTTCCAATGAGAAATAATACGCTTGAAATGGAAGAACGTCGAGCCAGATATGAGTGTCATAAATACTAAGTCTGAAGTCTGTAATTTAGCATTTTCAGAGTAGATAGAGCATTTTAGCGTAAATACAGTCTGAAATTTCAATTCGGTTGATTAGATAGTCTTCCCATACTATATTGAAACTGACGCTTGATAAGAGTTTTAGAACTTGGTAAGATCTTTCTAACTAGATAGATAGAAAACGCTTTAAACGAAACTAAATACTGCAAGAAATGATCATATAAATTTCTACACGTGTTCGGAGTGAAATCGGAAATGATTCTGAATTTCAGGTTAATTTGTACCTTGCACTTAATGCATTGTAAATTGAGTGGGGACAATAGCTTTAAAATTCAAAATGATCTTTCCAATGAGATAAAATACGCTAGAAACAAAAGAACGTACAACAAGATATGAGTGTCACAAATATTAAGCCCGAAGTCTGTGATTTAGCGTTTTCAGCGTAAATAGAGCATTTTAGCGTAAATACAATCTGCAATTTGAAATTCGGTTGATTAGACAGTCTTCTCGTACTATTTTCAAAC